GGTGGCTTGCTTTCTCATACCCCTCCCTCTCTCTCTTTCTCTCTCTGGTGAGTGAACATGCCCTGTAACAAATTTAAAAAAAAAATGGGGACCAGCAGTTAGCATAATGGCTATGTTGCTGGACTCCCATGTAATCGACCGCGGTCTGAGTCCTGGACCCAGTGACTTAAACTCATGCTGGGTACGTGTGTGTGCGTGCTGAAGATCCTGAGAGGAGAATGGAAGAGAAGGGATTGTGGTGTGGCCATCCCCACTAGGGAGGTGATTTCTCACTTTCTGTCTCTCTGTCTTTCTGGCAAGCCCTATAGCAAAATCCTCTCCCAAAAAAAAGAAAGAAAAATAAATAAATAAATAAAATTGAATAAATACATTTTTTAAATGTTCTATAATTTTAACCAGCAGATGGTGTAATGGTTATGTTGCTGGACTCCCATGTATTAACCATGGTTTGAGTCCCAGACCTGGTAGATTAAAACTCATGCTGGCGCATGCGTATGCATGCCCAAGATCCCAAGAGGAGAATGGAGGAGAAGGGATTGCGGTGTGACTATCCCCCCTGGGGGGTGATTTCTCACTTTCTGTCTCTATGTCTCTCTCTGTCTGGTGAGCGCACACGCCCTATAGCAATAAATAAATAAATAAATAAATAAATAAATAAATAAATAAATAAATAAATAAATAAATAAATAAATAAATAAATAAATAAATAAATAAATAAATAAATAAATAAATAAATAAATAAATAAATAAATAAAGCGCACACGCCCTATAGCAATAAATAAATAAATAAATAAATAAATAAATAAATAAATAAAACCTCTCAAAAAGAGTCCCAAACTCAGTGGCTTAAAACTCATGCTGGGCTTGTGTATGTGTGTGTCCAAGATCCCAGGAGGAAAAGGGATTGGCATAGCTATCCCCTTTAGGGGCCGATTTCTCATTTTCTGTCTCTCTGGAGAGTGCACGTGCCCTAAAATGATCTCTTTTAAAAATAAAATAAAAATAAGTTCTATAATGTTAGTTCACAAAACTCCTGTGAATGATGTAATTCAGGTGGGTACAATAGCTTTCATCTGCTTCATTCATTGAGAGGTAAAGTGCCTGGCTTTCTCCCTGCAAGCCCCACCTCTCCTCCCTCACCTGCCAATGCCTTGAGTCTGCGTGCCTGGTGTGAATGGGTAAGATGAACTGTTTCTCCCTCTCTGCTGATAACACCACCTCAGACTACCAGTCCTTTGTGGGCTGGCGATCCAAGAAAGCGGAATACAGACGACTCCTGTTAACTAGAACTACGGTAAGGCATCTTTAGGTTTACATTGAAATCCTTGTCTCAGTTGCTTTGGTGGAACCCTCTGAGCAAAGTGCCTGTGATGAGGACCATAGGATCTGCCCTGCAGCAGCCACCTGGCGGCCCATTCCCATAGTCCCGCTCATCCTGCCATCATGGGCAGCAGTCAAGGGAGCTCTATTCTGGGGATCACATCTATGTTTCATGACCACCACCACCCCCCCACCCCACCCCCGGTCCATGCTCATGATCTGTTCTTCTAAAGAGATAGTCCACCTGTCTGGCTTTAAGGCCACTCCCTGTGCCACCTATGTCCTGCTTGTCTTCCAAGTCCCCAGTGTGGGGCATCCTTTCTGGGTGGTCCCTTCTGTCCCCTCCCACTTGAATAAGAGTGGAATCCCTCAGATTTAGCAAGATCTCAGATTTAGCACATAAAGAATACTCGGTTACATTTCATTTTCAAATAAAGAACAAACGATACAGTATTTAGGACCAATTAATAGAAAATTTATCCATTGCTTATCTGACTTTCAAACTTAATAGGAAGCCCTGTATTTTGTCTGTTACTGTCTCCACTCTTTTCCTGCCACTGAAGGAGACCTGATTGCACCCCTCTCCAACGACATCTCCTTCCAGTTTTCCTTCCCAGCTGGTCTTTTAGTCTTGGCTATAACCCTGATAGGTGAAGGCAGGGAACTCAATTTAGTTCTTATAGTTCTTGGGGGTTTCTGTTGGCTAATGTAGCTGATCTGTTTCACAACTCACTGTCTCCACAACTCAGCATAGGAAATCTACCATATCTCAGCACCTACATTTAAACCCTAACTTTCTGTTTAATATATATGGCATCATGTATCTCTAAAGGAAATTAAGAAAAAATAACCCTTCAAGGTGTTCATTTTTTCAGTGCCTAAGACAACAGATTCAAATTCAGCACTTTGAAATCATGCATTTGGCCAGTTTTTATTGTTACAATTTTTACTGAGAGCCTCAGTTCACCCAGGAGCAGTGGCCCTGCTCCTCCCAGAATGACAACCTTCTTGCTGGTTCCCTTCTCTCTCATGACCACTGAGGACTCTGTCCTCTAATCACTTTGGTTCGGGGAGGGTCTCTGATCCAAATCAGGCCAATCAAGGTTTCTGCTGGTGACCTGATAGCAAATCTAAGAAAAATTACTTAAACTGAACTTTTAACAGAAAACATTGAGAAGGTATAATTGATGCCATTTCTTACCTTCTATAGAAAATAATCCCCAAACCAAGTACAGAGGTGGGAGATATTCTGCTCAATTACTCTTGTGGTGTGGCGGCCACCCCGACCTTCTCACTCACAGGTGGCTCAATTATTCCTGGTTTTCTAAACCGATAAATTCCATTTTTCTAAAGTACTTTCCAGGCAATAGTTTGCATGTCCTTTGAAACTCTATTATTTTATTATTGTGCCCAAGGAAATACTACCACAAAAATCTCATAGGTTAGGAATGATCATAGGTTTAAAACAGATCAACTAAAGAAAAAATAGTTGTCTTATTTTGGAAATGGAAGACAGAGAAACCACTTAAAGAACATTACAATGGACATGGTTAATATTTAAACATATGACTCCACAAAAAAATAGTATATACAATCATAACCCAAATATGAGGTGAGATTATTTTTAACTAAAATAGAGAAGCACTAATCTTACACATCTCTTTTTAACTCTCAAGCAGATCACTAAATATTTCTAGTGTGACATTTACATTTTTAATTTTCCATAAGAAATTAAGGCACAGTACAGTGATCTACTTCATACTCATGGCAGCGTTACTCTAGTCTTGGCTCTGGGAGTATCCGAGGCAGACGGCATGGGCTGCTCCCACTTCCCTCTTTCTGTGGACTTGTCCTTACTGTGCTTACTGTGTGGTGTGGCTCCAAGGCTTTGCCAGTGCACGCTCACTCTCCTGCTCTCTGTGACACCACACTTAATTGGTTATTAATTCGGCACCAGTCCTCACCCCAAGGCCCCAACATATATATATATATTTTTTTATAATAGTATGTGTGCACGAGAGAGGCAAAGAAAGTAATAGAGAGAAGATAAGGGACAGAGAGAGAAGGACTCTCAACAGGGTCTTGCCATTCCCTTTCCTCAGCCCTACAGCTCTTCAGGACCCTGGGCGCCCTTTTGTGTGTGAACCAGCATGTTTACAGGCCAATGGGGGTGGGGATTTGTGGGTTTTGTTGTTGCTGTTTATGTTTTTATTATTATTATTAATTTTCTACAAGGCATGTGTGCTCATCAGAAGGGGGTTGACCATGCTATAATCCCTTCTTCATTCCCTTTTCAGGATTTTGGGCACACATGCACACACATCCAGCATGATTTTCAAGAAACTAGGTCTGGGACTCAAACCACAGTCGACCATGTGGAAGTCATGCACCTTAACCACCATGCCACCTGCTGCTTTCCCAGGATGGTATTTTTCATGGTGTCCATACTCATTTTTAAAATCAAGAAAAATATAAAATATACAAACTGAAATACATTGTCTGAGAAGAACTTTGCCTCTGAAAGAACACTGCAGGGGAAAGAGGTGATAATATTGATTCTCGTAATAGCAAAGAAGTCGGGGGTGGGGTGGGGGATAAGCTTAATAAAACAGAGGGAGGAAGCCAGAATCTCCAGCAGGGGCGAACTTGACTATTCAGTTGACATCATTTTGCTCAACATGTAGAAGTCACATAATGAGGGGTGGGGAGACACCATAGTTAGCAGAGTATTTTATTAATATCATTACAGTTTAGAATAGAAGACTGTAGCTGTCACAACAAGGGGCTTTTAGGAAGGACCAGACTTTAATGGAGAAGAGCTAAGGTAGGAGGTTGAGGTCTCCTTGGGAGAAAAGCAGGAACCTGTCTTTTACTTAAGTAATTAGCCTGGCAGCAGGTTTTATACTAGATGATTTCAAACCGAAAAATAAAGCAGGCAGCAGAAGGAGGTTGTTACGGCATACGACATTCAGTTTCTCACGATGTAACTGAAAAGAGACAAAGTCAAGATTATTTTCTTTGCAAATTAAACTACTTAATTTAAGTTACAAGTACAGAAATGTGTGGCCTATTTCATATTTTAGTTTTTCAAAAACAGATCCTGATTGTATTTCTCTTGTTCACTTAGTTATTAAGTAATATCAATGTTCTTTCTACTGTGAGTTTAAAACATTGTTACATAATTGAGGAAAGTGTGTCTCAGCAGTATGGCAAAGTGAACATATGTTGTTTATCATTCCAGTTTTTTTTTCCTCTTCTTTTTGGAGTCATCCCATCTCTTATGTATGTGGGAACCTCAAAAAGTTCATGGAAAAGAGGTAATAAAATTATGAGTTTATTTTGGTGTATTTTTTTCAAATCCATGCATAGATTTTTTTTTATATAATATGAATTTGCTATTAACTTTCTGAGGACCCCTCTTATGTCTGGACCCAGGGTCTGCAGTCCAAATGGCCTCCCTTTCCTGCCTGTGTCTCAGCCCACCTTCAGGACCTGGCTCCAGTAAGTGGCCATGTGACCACAATGCCATGCACAGGGCCACCTTCTACAGTTTGTTGTGCTCAAGGGTGTCTGGCCAAGGGAATGAGTGGGGCCTGAAATCCAGCCATGCCTCTCTCCCCAAGCTGGTACCTTGGCATGGGGTGTACATGCCCAGAGAAAGGTCACCTTTTCCTCATTTTCATAAAGGCTCCATCTGCTTGCCAAGCTGTTCACCTGCAGGGCTGCATTCACCTAGAGGGGAAATCATTTGCTCATTTGTACAAAGGCTCTGGAGCCATATGGGCTCACACGGCCTTGCCAGTGAGAGAACTCCATCCCTCTTTGCCTTAGTGACTGTTCATGGATGGACCCAAGTCTAAAGATGGTCAGTCGGAGTCCTCCCCTGGACTTGTGTATAATTTGCTTGAAATACCTCATGTAATGGCTAGAGCTGCTTCACTGAAAGGATGGGCACAGCCATGGTCCGTCCTATGTCAAGAGTCTTTGCAGCATTAAGCAAACACAGAGGAAAGAGTTGTGAGATGCAAAAACAGGGAACAAGCTCTGGTTTGAGCCTCTGGTTCCAGCACTTGCTGAAATCCCTAACAGCATTCCCCAGTTACACCAGCCAATGGATTCTCCTTTAATTAACTTAGTACAGAAAGTTTCTGTCTCGTTCAAATAAGGAGATATACTGATTAAGTCAGGTATTGACATTGTGAGGAAGGCTGTTGTGCATAATGGAAGACTATCCCCTCCCTAAGAGCAGGGCTGCTCATTACTCTGGGGTAACCAGCATCTGTTGCTTTGGGGCTTACACCTGTAGAAGGGGTCTTCAAAAATGTGATGGAAAATGTGTTTTATGAAAAAAATTATGCATGAATTTCAATATTTTTTGCACCAAAATACTTTAATTCCATTTTTGCACTTTAATTCCATTTTCCCACAAACTTTTTGATGTAAAATCTGATGTTTTCAAAGTAAAGGATTAATTATAGGGGGATGAAATTAGTCAGGAAAGGCTTTCTGAAGATGGTACCTTTGCCTAATCCCAAAGGGATGAAGCAGGAACATTTCCGTTTGAAAAGTGGTGGTGGAAGGGCACTAAGCAGCGAGTTAGAGACATTCACTATGACTTTTAAGTTGGAAGTGAATGCATTTATTAGGTCAATACTGGAAAGCTCTATAGGTAGTCTGGAATCAGGACTTATATTAGAGATGACTGTCAGGGATCAATCTCTCTCTGCAGCTTGGGGAAGAAGCCCCTCCCAGTTAGTCTAACAAAAGTCTTTGAGTAGCTATGATTGGTGCTGTTTAGGTCAGGGGTCTGGTCCTCTAGAGCTGAGTAACCAGGGAAGTAGGTGCCTCTGAGCAGCGTTGCCTGGACCACATGTTCACCCTGGAGCTGAGGTGAAGGCAGCACCTCCTGACCACACACTGGTAAGTGGCTGTTCAGGGTAGGTGGGGAGCCATTGCTAGCAAAGGAAGATGGGTGATGGATGGGTTAACTTCCAATGTCCTTATAAGGGAGGAAGCTGACTGCCCAGAAGCAAGGAGGGAATGTGTTAGCATGAAAAATAAGGTCAAATAAATGAGGAGCCGAGCCCAGGAAATAGGGCTTTAAGGTGAGGTATTTGAACTTCAGTATTGCATGTACAAATGAAGTTTCTGGAATGTTTACCTTGCTTCTGAGGAACATGGTCAGAAAAGGTAGCTTGTACTTTTCATGTATTGTACCACTTGACCTTGTTTTCACAGACAGAATCATTTTCAAAATTTTGTGACTAACCTTAAGGCAGTCACCCAGAGCTGAACATGAGAGACATCAGGTGATTGGCAGGAAAATCCGTCCCAGGTGGAATACTTTATCAGATGATAATTCACAAAGCCAGTTGGATCTTCTCCCTTGAGAAGTGTTAGAAACAAGATACCCAGAACGAGACTAGTCAGAATAAAGCAGAATTTAGAAGAAACTCACAGATAATGTGGTGCATTAGTTGGTGTCAGCTAAAGCTTTGTAAAAGATACAACTAAACATATGTGTCTCAACCGACAGCAGCTCTTATCTCATTCCTGTGACAGTCCGGGACAGGGGTTCCTAGTCAGTGGGAAGCTCTCTGCACAATGATTCTGGGAGCAGATTTATCTATGCTGCAGCTCTGCTGTCCCCAAAAAGTTGTGACCATTTGTATTGGCCAGCAGGCAGGACGATGGACTGGAGGAACTGAGCTCCATTTCCATTTCCACCCACTTCCCAGTGTAGAAAACCAGTCACGGGAGACTCAGAGGAAGGCAGGGAGGGCTAGGCCTGGGGTTGCTGCGGCAACTACATACAGATGAAAGGTCTTTTAGAAGCCTGTTAGTCACTTGTAGCCCAAGTCATAGCAGAGCCCTCAGCAAACAAAACCCAGGGGACAGAGAGACAGATTGTTGTGAGGGGTAAGAAATGGACATTCAGGGACCAGCAGTTAGCATAAGGGCTATGTCACTGGACTGCCATATAGCCAACTGCAGTTCGAGTCCCAGACTCAGTGGCTTAAACTCATGCCGGGCGCGTGTGTGTGCGTGTCCAAGATCCCGAGAGGAGAATGGAGGAGAGGGGATTGCGGCGTGGCCATCCCCCCTGGAGGGTGATTTCTTGCTTTCTGTCACTCTGTCTCTCTCTGTCTTTCTGGTGAGTACACGTGTCCTATAGCAAAAAAGAAATGGACATTCACTAAGAAGAGGACAGAAAAGCATTAGCTGAGCCTTCTCAGCCCAGCATCTAAACGTGTCTGGGTGAAGGGTCCTCTCCCGGCCTGCTCTCTTCTTTTGCAATGGAGTTATCAATACTATGGGCTTGTATACATTAACCTGGAAGATTCTGCAATCTCAAGTTTAAGAACCCCTGCCTCAAACTCTCAAGGCCACACTGTTCACCTCTGTAGTTTCCATTACACTTCCGGTGGTGACTCTGCGTCTGTCTCCCCGTACAGATTCTCATTGGAGCCCCAGGCCAGCATGGCAAGTAGTACTGAATAGCTCCAACAGAAAAGTCCTGAAAAACACTTGGCACCCCAGGCATGAGCCATCACTCACTCTCCTGCCTGTTCCCAGGCATTTTTCACCTCAGGAAACAATGCTACCATGCAGTCGGATACTCAGATGAAAAACTTGGGACTCACTCCTGAGCCCCCCATCGATCTTCCCTGCTAGAACTGGTTGTGACTAGAGCTCATTTGCTGTCGAATCCAGCCACGTGTCTCTGGACCCACTGCAAGTCTCCTGGCCCAGCCTGGATTTCTCCACCTGGATTTTCACAGGAGCTTCTGAACTACGTCTCCTGCCCTAAACTTGCACCCCTGATTCTTACACTTCAGTATGTGATCACTATGCAGTTAACACATACCAAGTCACACTCCCAATTGAAAATATTTTGTCCTTCACCATTGTTTCCAGAAAAACTCTCATCTCCATAGACAGCCCATGAGACCTTTGTATCATCTGGATTCCCAGTAGGGAAACTTCCTCCACACAAAGTAGCTCAAAGGAAGGGAATGAAACAAAGAAACCTTGACAAAGGGCTTGGAAGAACACAAAGGATGCTAAGTTGATCAAAAGCAGAAACCATAGCAGGAAGACATTACACTCCAGGTGGGTGTGAACAAAGAGCACAAGGGTTGTCACCCGAGCCCTGAGTCCAGGACTTCTGGAAGGAGCTGGAGCTACTGGAACTTGCCTTCCAAAAGCGAGGACCATGGCGGATCCAGTCTGGTGCAGGCTGGGATCAAGGACAAGGTTGCAACCTCCACTGAAAAGGGGGAGCAGACCTGCCTTGACTTCTCTCCTGCTTAGCAGTCTCAGTCCAGAGCCTTCATCACCAAACTGCACTGGCTACCAGCTGGCAGGGGAGGCCCTTCATGCACAAGGCAGAACGCCAGAGGTTAGGAAATGGACCGGCACAAAACCTTACATTCTGCTCCCTCCCTTGCACTCTCTGTGCACTCCCTCTGGACTCTGTCACCCTGTAACTTCTACATATTGGGGCCACAGAAGAAGTCACCCTTTGGCCTTTTGTCACCCACTCACCTGTGTGGCTCTGAAGTATGCTTGGGTTCTCAACTTGGATACTACACTCCAAGGAAATGTATTTTGGTCCCTAAATCTGAACTCAGTACCCTAAATATATGAGCACCTGATCACCTATATACTCCATCACAACATTTATTTAAAAAATAGAAAGCATAATCTAAAACTAGATGATGAGTTCCTATTTATTTGTATTTATAACTTGAGACCAGGGCAGAGGCTTCCTATCTACTAGCCTCTACCATGTATCTGTACAACACATATCAGTCGGTTGAGTGTGTAGATCAATGATGAAGGTGTGTGAGTCGGGAATCACAGTGGTCAATGTGGAGCAGTACAGGCCCTGCGTAGGGGCGTCCACTAATTGCTGCTAGACTTCAGTGCTCTTAGATTTTGAAAGACAAAGGCCATTGTTCACATTTTTCTTGACACTCAGATGTGTGATGGCTGCTCTGCCCTGGGTGCTACCTTGTTTCACCTCCACCTTTGCAAGAAATTCCTAGCTCCTCCATCTAGTCAGTGCTCATCATACCCTATGACATAAATTACGTAGAAACACACACAAAAAAAACAGGAGCCTGGCCGAATCTTCTTTTTACTCTTTACTATTAGTAAAAAGATACTAGTAGTTCTCTTAAATACAACATATATCCCAAATTATATATATAAGCCACTATGGTTTGGGCTTTGCTTATTGTTTCCTCATCTTTGGGTCATCCCTCAGCCACAGGTGAAACAGGTGGTGTCTCTGTCCTCAACTCCATCTTTCTCTTATTTCCTTCTGTCGTCTCTCCTGCTAAAGGCTGACAACTCTCCCACCAAGAGCTATTGTCTCTCTATGTTGGATTAATCACCTTTTGTTTTAATAACTTCTTGGTTTGCACTTTTTCCCATTTTCATTCATAGAGAACTTCATTGTTGTCCACACAGATTTCTTCTTGCCTGTGATGTTTCTATTGCTAATTTCTGTTACACAGATTTATGATGACGAAACGCTTCAGGGTTTCCGATATAACCGACTTCTTGTGTGAACGTGCTAGTCTAGTCATCCTCTCTGTGTGAAAGAGGATTTCAATGACTCCTACTGTGAACGGAATATCTTCTAGAGGAGTCCATGGAGGGCACTTCCCCAGTGGTTGTTTCTTGTCTCTGTACCACAGTTATTAACCTGAGAGGCTAGAGATGACACCTCTGACTCTGTAAAAACATGCTGCCTCCCTAGGTCTTTGCCTGCTATGTCTTGGTTCCAATAGTCTAAATATTAAATCTAAAAAGCAAAGTAAAATTGAGATCACATTTTTTATTAATTTATATGTTTATAAAAGATTATTGAGCTTTAGCATAAGAAAAGTAGCATAAGTATGATGCAGTGTTTCTTCTGTTCCTTAGCAAATGCTGTTTGAGCAAATTCATCCTTAAATCTTACCTTCTGAAAAAGAATATCTAACATCAATGACACATATGCATTGAACTATAAAGTGGTCACTGATGTTCATTTTATATAAATGTAAGAGAAACCATGATTTCACTTGTAAAATGCCTGAGCAGTTTGAAACTGGCTTTATGAAAAAATAAAATAGACCTTCAAAATAAGAGAAAGTAACCTCAGAAATAAAGGTTGAGGTCAATTGACATGGTTTCCTAGGAAAGAATTATTGTATCTTTGTTATCTCTTCACCCAGATACACACACTATTGCCCACAAAGCAACTGTGTGGTCCAGAAAACCAATAACAAATAAAAATATAACCACAGAGTTCAAAGCAGGAGTTCCCAGCCAGGGAGAAGTTCTTTTGAAAAAGCTGATTGTACAGATGTATTTTCCCAACACAGACATGGTAATGTTGTCTGACAATTCTAGCTAGAGAAACCCAGAGACAGATTTATCTAGTGAAGATAATTACTCTTAGCTCATTGAGCTGCGTGGATTAAGTAAGAGATGGTATATGCAGAACCTATTGTAGGTTGACCCGTGTAAGACTTGGTCATCAGGAATGGTGAGCATTTTTTGGTGTAGTAATTAGAATTAAATCAGCCATTTATCGAGTTGACATCACATGTTCAAGCATAATACTAGGTGCAGAGGACAGAAGAATAAACAACACATGGGTTTTATGTTTGAGTTAAGAGTCTAATTGGGAGGACGTTATAAAAAAAACAGTCACAAGGAAATTTATTATCATAGGCCAGCCTTGTGACCTGTTGGATAACAATGCTGTATCTGACATGGCCAACCATAGGATTCAAATCCTGGCCCTGGTGGCTTGTAAAACACACCAGGCATGGGTAGTGTGCATGCCCCAAATCCCAACAGGATGGAGGAGTGGAGAAGGGATTGCAACATGACCACACTGCAACAGAAAGGGCTTTCTCCCTCTTTCTCTCTGTCTCTGTCTCTTTAATGCATGTAAATGTTCTCTGGCAAAACAAAACAAAAAAAAAAAATTAATCTACCATGAAGTAGAAATTACTGGTAAGAAGTGAAATCATTCCAGCTATTCTGAGGATCCAGATGCAGCATAGCACTGTACGCATGTGCTGTTTCTCATTGTCAGCACGACGGTGTACTGAGCCATTAAAACGCTTTCTCAGACTCCTTATAGCTTCTATGAACAGAGCAACTTTGTTTGGACAGACCTGTTAAAATTAGAAACGCATGAAGTGAATGAATGGCCGAATGAGAAAATCATCACAATATTCTTTCTCTGGGGTTTTCTATGTGTCTGTCAATTAAGGTTCAAGAGATTTGGGTGGGTGATTCTTTGCTCTTGCAATCTACCAGCAGGTTTATTACAAATACAAAAGTTACTTATGCAAGCCTAAAATTTGGATATTTTT